GGCAAAACCTGGCCGAAATCCTATTCTTGTTATGGCTTGCTTTTTGGACAAAAAAACTTCAGAAACATAATTGGAAGAGTCCATAGGGGATTGCAGAAAAAAATCTTAAAATACTCACAGTTTGACCCATTTATGGCCAACAGCTAGAAGTCCATCTTTTTTCTGAATGGAGTGTAGTGATGCTCAGAAGGCAGCTGGGCTGTTAGGTGGCCGGTAGCAGCAACCAATAACATGGGAGTCATGGCCGGGAACTATAACCTCAAGCCATAGTAGCTCCAGCTCAGTTTCCAGATCGAAGCGGCGACGAACAGCCAGAGACTCGTGGCAGTATGCAGCTACTCCACCACCAGGACGATCTGGTCTGTCCTTGCGAAACAATTTGAAATGTGGTATAGCTACTTCACCATCACTGATATCCGGCTTCAACCAAGTTTCCGCGGTTCCAAGAAGATGTATACCTCTGGAGGACACATACTCCTGGACCTCAGACACCTTCCTCCGCAGGCTGCACACATTGAAGTACATATTTTGCCTGGACACACAGATGTGTACGTTCTTTCATTCATCTAGTGTAGTCACAGTTAGTCATATGGTATTTTATACATGCCAACCGTCCAGGGTAGGCATTTCCCAAATCGGCCAGATTTTTCGCCTAATCGGCTTTTCGATCGGCTAAGAGAATGTCCAAATTCAGCCATATTATGAGCCCGAAAGTCAGAATTCGACTCAAAGCAGTAGTTGAAGTCACCGCTCGCAATGCAGTGTACATTTACCTGCATGCTTTAGAGGCATTAAAACATCGATTTTCTGCGAATTCAGTGCGGAATTTGTAAATTCGGCGCAATTATCGGCGATTTCTTCACAGCCATTGATTTCGACGTCTTTTCCTGTTGGCCGATTTCGGAAATGACTTAAGTAGCAGTCACCTGTTGCAGTATAATAGCAACAGAAATTGTATTTGCATGTTGTAGAGGCAACAAAACATCGATTATCGGCAAATTCAGTGGGGAAATTGTATATTCGGCGAAAAGATCGGTGATTTCCTCAAGACCACAGTTTCGGCGAATTTTTTGGCCGACCGATTTGGGAAATGCCTAGTCCAGGGTTTCGCCGGAACAGTTCAGGGAATAGGGAGTTTGTGACGGGGGCCGGAGATGTCCTGCAAAAGTCCAGGATTGAGTTGGAACTTTTGAAATCGAAGTTCTCCTTTTTATGACGCTTTCTCAGTGTTTCCTCGATCTTGTACATGTAGATCGGTTGTAATTACACACAGCCCGTAGTAGCACATAGTATACTAAGTTATGGAACTGCAATGGATCACCGGTATAATGGTAGTCCACAGATAATTTATTTGTACAGTTACAGCTCAATGCAATGAGGCGCCCTTTGCTTTAACGTTATAACGGCAGTCATGAAAAATACATCTGCTAATGATGGGTGCGCTAAAAAAATTTGTGTTGAGGAAAAGCATTGAAAATCAAGGGAGTTCAGCCTCCTCGTCCAGGGAACTCAAGCCTCCAGGCTGGCATGTATGCATGTTGCTCGCTTGCGATGACTCACGTTGTGCCAACTTCGTAAAGTGTGTCGTGTGAGTACAGCCAACAGGTGCGGTTGGTCGGAAGGTGCCATATTTTCCAGAATAGACGTCTTACACTTTCTTTACCGTAAACGTCAGGACCAATATAAAGCGGGTGCGACTTACTATCGAGCATGCCTTGCAACTTTTGAAATATGAATAATTAAAACAGAGAGGTTCCAGACTGTCCAAGAGAGTGCTCAAAACCGAGAGGTAGAGCTGGTTCAAACAATAGGAGGACAGAGAAAGTGTTTTTACCCCGAGTTTCACGCACTAAGCGATCATCAGAAAACAGTACTGAGAAATCTGGATCAGTATTGGTTTTTATACAAAAACAAAGTGTAAATTGCTGCAGCATGGCGCAAATCTAAAAGTTGTGAATGGCGGCAGTGCAAAGTGTAAATGACTGCATCATGGAGCAAATCTAAAAGTGTGAATCACACCAGTGACCGACTTTTAGTGTACCAAGTGCCATATCGGACCTGCACACAACGACCAAAACTAGCCTAAAGTGCCAACTTGGCTTGCAGGGCTGACTGCAACAGGGTTGAGGTGGGCTCTGAAGCAAGTTTTTATGCAGTCAACAGAAGTGACAAATGACAGTGCAGGATGAGGTGTTCTTAGCCTGCACGAAAGTATTCTATGCTCCGCGCCTCTCAATATGAGTACATGAAAGTACAATCATACACAGAAGGTGTGCGCCTTAACCTGCAATAGTGCTCAAATGCCCGGAATGGGCAGAGCGTAGTACGCAAGAGGTACACAAAAGGAAGTATATAGTGCTGTTTTGTTGTAACTCAGAGTTTCATGGCAAAAACCAATCATCAGACAACATAAGGAGATTAGAAAACGCAGGTATATGAAGCCAAGCAGAGGAGATAGAATAATTCAGTGCAGACAATATGATAATCATTCAACACCTCCCAGAGGCAGTACGCTCTGACGTGCCAGAATCAACATCTCAGGTGCTGGGTGAAACATGAATACGCACACTCATCCACACACAGCCTCTCGTTCTCACACACTCCACACTCCCGCATTATCACACCTAAACACACGCGCACGCACACACACACACACACACACGCACCAAACACACACACGCACCAAACACACACATGCACCACACAAACATACACACAGCCTCTCGTTCTCACACTCTCCACACTCCCGCATTATCGCACCTAAACACACACACACACGCGCGCGCGCCAAACACACACGCACCACACCCACATACACAGACACACACACACACACACACACCTCAGACCTCAGACCTCAGACATGCCCATCGCGGAAGCGATGATAGCGAACAGCTATGTTAGACATAGCAACTTGTGCTGGGATTACACCATTCAACAGCTTGCAAGGCTGATGAATTGACCGCCACACACACACACACCTCACCTCACCTCAGACATGCCCATCGCGGGAGCGATGATAGCGAACAGCTATGTTTTAGACATAGCAACTTGTGCTGGGATTACACCATTCAACAGCTTGCAAGGCTGATGAATTGACCGCCACTATTTTTAGCTTGGTATCCACCACACAGCTGTTTGAAGTGACTTTTTCTGGCCAGTGAATCCCTATTTTTCATTTTTCCATTTTTTTTCTTTTTTTCTTTTTTTCTTTTTCTACACACACACCACACCACATACTCCGGCATACACTGGCTGTTGGTAACCACCCAGGAGAATGAAAGAAAAGTCAGGAAGAGTCTGAGAAAGAGAAGAAAGACGTGTGTGACCATAATCGTCGGGAATCGAACCCGCAACCTATCGATTGGAAATCGCTGCACATACCACTGCACCATATGGCACACACACACACACACACACACACACACACACACACGCCAAACCCATAGCACGTCATACACATGTATGTACACGATCCGATACGCCACGACTGTATGGGATCTGGTTCTAAAGACTACCTGGCTTTTGCTTGCACAGTGGAGTTGTTGCTTAAACCATGTTTTACTGTATGTGAAAACAAGCCTGTACGATTGACTCCCATGTTTGTAGCACAGTGTGTTTCGGCCGTGGGGAATTCCCCAGTCCAAGCACAAAGCGACTAGTATTCAGAAACGTTGGAAACTGATTTCGAAAGCATGTTCACACTGGAGATTTGGAGCGAAGATGCAGACCCTAGGTCGGCGGAGCTCCCTAAACCTCACCACCACTGCCACGATTCAGGTTGTGCGTACTTTCCCTAGCTGCATTTCATGTTTGGCATATAACTGGTCTTTGTAAAATTTAAAAAAACAAACAAAAAAACATGCAGTCACATGTTTGCTTTAATCTTCTTCATCTTTTATTGAGAGTCTAGCCGTATAGTTAGAGGAGAAGGCAGGCATGCCTGTGTATCTGGTGAAGTAAAATAAAAACAAACAAACACCCATGGCAGCATTGCAAAAGAAGGTATGTTCAACCTGAACGTTGCAGCATTTTTTTTTAAGTTACTCGTCCATGAGGCAGAGGTCAAGGCATGAGTAGAGGTTTGCAGTACGAACAGCGAGCCAGTACTTCACCTTGTAGAAACATCAGCTTCAGCCCGCCACAGGCTAATGCTGACATGTGTTGTATGCCGTGGGAAAGCATTGTAAACGTCTAGGTCGCCGACATACCACCTGCCCATTTTAGATGGTTTTGAAGCCTCAAGACAACTTTGTATGGTGTTTGCTCGGATGATGACTGCACATAGCAGTATGGTCAAAGCATGGCTCTCCTCTAGCCCAGATCACTGATTTGATTTCTGGTGGTCACCCAGTTCAGTTTTTCAGTCTACTTCACTTTTGTTTCATCAAGCTATTCAACATTAATTTTGTTAGCTAGTGGTGAACTTTGCAGCTCGGAAAGAAGACCGGCTAAACCTGCTGCGTTTTTCTGCTCTACCCTGTTCACTGCACCATGTTAGATTGTTAAGTAGCCAAGAGCCAAGTGGCATTTTAGAATACACAAAGTAGAAAAAACTGAGAAAGGTTCTATCTTTACAGATAAGAGACGCGGTGAGACACTAACTTTATTATGGCAGAGTCAGCAGAACCAGAGAAGTGGACATTGGACGTAGTAATGAACACAATAAAATGTGGATAATAAAATGCATTTCGTACTCTTCCACGTATATTATTGTTGTTTATTACTAGATTTCATTATGGAGACGTATTTCCCTGATGAAGGTCTCTAGACAAGTTGTTAGGAAATTTTCGTTATCCATATTATCTTTTGTTGATTACCACGTCCAATGTCCGCTTCGTTGATTCTGCTGATTCTATCTTTAAACGAAAGGAGAAAAAAACTCTCAAAAGAATGCATGTGTACAAACACCGTAGAGGTAAAGATGGACAGGACAGTACGTCGTAACAAAACATCCAACATCGGGTATTTTTGGCCTGTTGCTTTTCTTCTCCCTGCAGCCTCTCGTCACATTTTGGGGAATGACGCGGGCAACGTGTACTCCAATACAGTTTACAGCCTTGAATTGGCAAAGAGAGATTCTGGTGCACCGGACAAGGCCAACAGCAACCAGTACGTCATCAATTTCTCCACGGCGGCAACGAAGAGCAACACAGCATGCCGCGGCTCACCCAAAGCCAACAAAGCTAGCATGTACCAGCGTGTGCTCGGGTTAGCCTTAAAGAAAAGCGCTCGTTCTGACCACACGAGTGCTAGTACTAGTGAAAGTCTATCAGCCGAGGCGATACATGATGATTCCCATGACAATCGTTCCCCGGCCAGTGTAGCGACTTTCACTAGCTGCAATTATAGCGAACAAACCACTGGCCGACCCAAACTTGTAACTGGAGACACTGAGGAGACTCCATGCAGCCTCAGCGGTGACAGTAAGCACGACGCTGACATCTACGGCAATGAGAGTGGTGATGACAGTGATGTGGATGGCAATGTCATCGACGCTGACATCTACGGCAATGAGAGTGGTGATGGCAGTGATGTGGATGGCAATGTCATCGACGCTGACATCTACGGCAATGAGAGTGGTGATGACCGTGATGTGGATGGCAATGTCATCGACGCTGACATCTACGGCAATGAGAGTGGTGATGACCGTGATGTGGATGGCAATGTCATCGACGCTGACATCTACGGCAATGAGAGTGGTGATGACCGTGATGTGTATAACACGTGCGTCAACGACAGCAGCGGTGCAGGTGCGAGTAATACCATTGGTGGAAACGGGATTACAGAGAATATATATCAATGTGGTGAAGTTGCAAGTTACAGCGACAACGTTGCAGAGAATGTATATCAATGTGGTGAAGTTGCAAGTTACAGCAACAACGTTGCAGAGAATGTATATCAATGTGGTGAAGTTGCAAGAGACAGCAACACCATTACAGAGAATGAATATAAGTGTTATGAAGGTGCAAGTGATCCCATTGCTAGAAATGCGATTGCAGAGAATGAATATCAATATTATGGTGAAATTACAAGTGGCAGCAAAGCAATTGCAGAGAATGAATATAAGTGTGATGAAGGTGCAAGTGCTACCATTGCTAGAAATGTGACCACAGAGAATGTATATTATCAATATGGTGAAGTTGCAAGTGGCAGCAATGCGGTTGCAGAGAATGTATATCAGTGTGATGAAGGTGCACGTGATACCATTGCTAGAAATGTGACCACAGAGAATGTATATCAATATGGTGAAGTTGCAAGTGGCGGCAATGCGGTTGCAGAGAATGTATATCAGTGTGATGAAGGTGCACGTGATACCATTGCTAGAAATGTGACCACAGAGAATGTATATCAATATGGTGAAGTTGCAAGTGGCGGCAATGCGGTTGCAGAGAATGTATATCAGTGCAGTGGAGATTCAAGTGACGCTGGTGTTAGAAATACGTATCGTAACTTCCCTAAAAGCAGCCCAAATCGCAGTGGCGCTGTGCAGACTTCTCCTCCCGCTCGGCAGCAGGTCGATAACAGCACTCGACAGCATCAGACCGTGTCTAAACCTCAGTTACCTTCAAGTGCGCGGCCCTGTCTAGCATTTCCGCCAGTGCAGCCCAAATCTCCACAACCGGGTGTTTAATCACACTGAACACTGGGCAATATTATTATTCTCCTATCCGTCCCGAATGGAACTCACGACGGCAGAATTGACTGTGAGCAGGTGTGTGTGAGAGTGGGAAAACGAAATGAAAAAGAAAGAGAGAGTCTTGTAATAGAGGTCAAATTTAAGAAGAGCAGTACAAGACTAAATGGCTGAGCAGATGTTACCCCATTGTTTTCTATCGCGGACATAGCTGCCGAGATCACGAAGGCACTGGACAATAGGTGGTCAGGATTCAACAAGAGCAGCTGCATCCAGGCTCCGGCTGACACTATCATCGGTCATGTCCTTTGAGTAACCAGAGACAACACGACACCTATTCTATCTCTTAAACTGTCAAAATAATATTATATAGGATAGATTATATGGAATACTATTGTTCCAATTTTCGTCTGATAATTTCGTGAAACTCAGGGTTACGAAACCGCAACTGCTCGTTCTCCTGTCTGTAAAGGATACTATAGAACTTAAATTTTAAAAAATCGTAATGATATTAGCACATCATTATGAATTTGACAAACTGGAATACTACACTATTATTATCTTAAACATAATTATACTGTACCATAACTTTATACCCATCATATTTGGCATCTCTCTGACCAACCTTTGGTGAACTGGAGAAATATATTCATCGGATAATTCTTCTATTGCATCTAAGTTAACGTCACAGTATCTATTTGCCAATGTATTTGTATTTGTATTTATGGATTCTCCACAGGCCTTTAATAGCCTAAATCAATACCGGCGTCATGGTTTTTGTGGCTGCCCATTTGGCTTGCAGATCCGCCCGGATATTATTTGTTCGTTCAGCGTATGCGAACACTTGGATTAATCCATGTGAACACGAGAATGCATATTATTATTATTTTTATTATTATTATTATCATTAACTGGTTCCATACATCCTGTACACACACCTTGTACACACTCTCTCTAACGGTCTCTAGGCTACACTGCAATTGATATACATTAGCTCAAATTTTCGGGCAAGGCCCATCATCAGGAATAAGTTTACTGTAGACAGAACAGGGGTTTATATATATGTGACAAGTACTAGTGGCCAAAGTGTGATGGTATAGCAATACCACAGGAAGCGAGATTATAATTCTGTGTGATATGTATGAAGTGAAAATATAGTGCAGTGATAGTGCAGGATTACTAGCGTGAGTACGAAGCAGAACAATACACACTTCTAGCAACACTCACACACATACATACACACACACACACAGTGCACACATTCTTGCACAAATTATGGTAATGACAGACATATTTACACATCACCCAACAGTCGCCAACCATTGTCACTGTTCACTGCCGGCTTCCTCTTCCTCATGAATAGTGCCTCCATGATTCTGCGGTCAACGTATGACCGTTGCCTGCGGGCGAGAACTTGCAGATGGGCGAATGGTGAAAACTGCGGTGACGATGGGAAGGTGTGCTGCTTTTGTCGATAATGGTCTCCCCATGGCTTTCCCAATGTCGCATTCTTGGCTTGTCTGTAGTGCTCCTCGGTCCTCTTGCGTGTTGTCCTTTCTGTTTCCCCGACGTATTCTTCTTGACAGATGGTACATGTCATGGAGTACACCACATCTTGGGACATACAAGCATCACGCTTCAGACCACCATCGCATGCACGACATTCAGCCGGCCGACCCCGCCGCCTCTTCTCCCTCTGCTGCTGTACCGTCCTGGGGCATTGTGGCTTGCTGAATGACGACGAGACCAACATATCCTTTAGTGAGCGACCGGACGTAAAGACCACACGCACATCTCTATCAAACGACCTGACCACTTGACGAACCCTCCTTGCAAGCTGGTCATTTACGTACGGTACCTTGACAAGTGACGTGTACTGTCGTTTCCCCTTCCGGTGTGGTGTCTGCTGGTGGGGCTGCTCTCGGATGCGTGCGGTTGTCCGTGCGGTGTCGGAGTGTTGTATGGCTGATTGTATAATGCTCCGTGGGTAGTGGTTATCAAGGAGGAGTGCGGTGATCTTTTTAATCCCCCGTTGTCGTCCTGCCTCCGTTGTTGCGTTGTTGACTGCCCTGCGGATCTGGTTGTTGGCGACAGCGATTTTTGTTTCCATTGGCAAAGCAGACAAATACGACAAATGTACACCACTATGGGACGACTTGACAAATAACTCCCAGTCCAACTTGCCACCTGACACCGAGATTGACAGGTCCAAGAAACTGATGGTGTGAGAGTTGGTCGTGTGTGTATATTCTGCGGTGAATTGTATGCGTGGGTGGCGGGAATTGAGATAATCAACAAATGCCAGAAATGCCGCAATACCAAAGATCCAAACGAGTATGCAATCATCAATATACCGACGATACAAGAGCGGTTTCAGGGGATACTCAGACAGGGCACGTGACTCGAACTTTGACATAAAGATAATAGCCAATGGGGGCGCGAGGTGGTTGCCCATAGCTAGACCCTGCTGCTGTCGATAGATGGCGCCGTCAAACTCAAAGAAATTTGACTCGAGGACAAACATGAGCATTTCGCGTATGTCTGATAATGACAGTGCGAACATATCAACTGATTCCTCATGCTCTTCCAACAACTCTATGGCCGCATCGATGCTTTCTTGAATAGGAATATTCGAGTACAATGACACAACGTCCAGAGACGCCACAATACATTCCTCTGGGAGGTTTTCGAGGTTGCGCAACGCCGTCATACAATCTTCAGTACTCGATAAATGTGCAGGTACGAATGGAAGCAACTGCGTATGAATGCGCTCAAGCAGAAGTGAAATACTGCTGGTCGGGCTACCGCATGTCGATACCACGGGGCGGAGTGGGAGGCCAGGCTTGTGGTCTTTGGGGAGTCCATAGAAGGTGGACATTCGCGAGTTGTGTGGCTTCAGTGCACGAGTGAGTGGTGGTGGGATTTTTCCGGTAGTAATGTCCTCTGCTATCCCAGCAGATGTCTTGTCCAGTTCGTTCACGGTAATGTCGGACCTCTCGTAGTTGACCTCACAGCTGAGCATTTGTTCAATTTTGGACATGTAGTGTGTTTTAGCCATGACAACAAACCCCTTGCTCTTGTCGGACGGCTTGATTATGATGCTTTTGTTCTCACGTAGGTCTCTGATCATCGTTCGTTCTTTTCCCGTCAGATGTCGAAGTGGAGTCTTCTGGGGCGCCGTCATTGCCATCTCCCTCCTGTACAGCATAGTGAGGTTCTCCCGGAGCCTTCTCATTTTTCCTTCCTCTTCCCTTTCCATAAGTGGTGGCTGTTTCTCCGTCGTAGCTATTTTCCTCAGCTTCGGATCTTTTCGCAACGGTTTCATGTTTTCATCCTCCCTTTCCTTTTCTCTTTCGTCACATGTGTCATTCTCTCTGTACTTCTTTGCGACTTCCCTCCATCGTCTCCCAAATGCCATTCGCTCCACTCCAGCCTCCACCTCCATAATCATGCGTTCATCCACCTTCCTGGCAGGAATGAATTTCGGTCCCAGTGACAGTAGTTCTCTCGCGTCGTCATGTATCTCACCATCGACTCCACTCTCCACCACCACCCTCGCTGACCCAGTCTCTTGTCTCACCGGCTCTTCTTCTCTCGGTCCATCTCTCCCACCAGCTAGTGCTTCCTCCTTTCGCAATAATTTAGCTCGTTCCGCTTGGATAACACGGCTACACATATGTCTTGTGTGACCCAGCAACCAGGCCATCTGACTAGAGGATAGTTCTTGATATAAGCGTCCCAAAAACCGATGACTTTGTTTTCGGAGATCGTTAATGGTTCGATACTTTTCCTCGATTATCTTGTTAAGCACAATGGAACGAAAGGACGACTCGCACCTCTCCACACACGGTCCGAACAGTCGGCTCGCCTTGCAACAGTTGGCAACAAAGGATGGCACGAGTCCACGGCGACGACACGAAGTAAGAAATCTGGCCGAACATCGATGTCGAGCACATGACAGTTCCGCTTTAACGAACCTCCAAGGAGTCTCACGGAACGGACCATTCGGAAACACTTTTCTCAAGGTTTGGAGACTCCACTGTAGCCAATACTTGAATCCATACATCCTGTAAACACACCTTGTACACACTCTCTCTAACGGTCTCTAGGCTACACTGCAATTGATATACATTAGCTCAAATTTTCGGGCAAGGCCCATCATCAGGAATAAGTTTACTGTAGACAGAACAGGGGTTTATATATATGTGACAAGTACTAGTGGCCAAAGTGTGATGGTATAGCAATACCACAGGAAGCGAGATTATAATTCTGTGTGATATGTATGAAGTGAAAATATAGTGCAGTGATAGTGCAGGATTACTAGCGTGAGTACAAAGCAGAACAATACACACTTCTAGCAACACTCACACACATACATACACACACACACAGTGCACACATTCTTGCACAAATTATGGTAATGACAGACATATTTACACATCACCCAACAGTCGCCAACCATTGTCACTGTTCACTGCCGGCTTCCTCTTCCTCATGAATAGTGCCTCCATGATTCTGCGGTCAACGTATGACCGTTGCCTGCGGGCGAGAACTTGCAGATGGGCGAATGGTGAAAACTGCGGTGACGATGGGAAGGTGTGCTGCTTTTGTCGATAATGGTCTCCCCATGGCTTTCCCAATGTCGCATTCTTGGCTTGTCTGTAGTGCTCCTCGGTCCTCTTGCGTGTTGTCCTTTCTGTTTCCCCGACGTATTCTTCTTGACAGATGGTACATGTCATGGAGTACACCACATCTTGGGACATACAAGCATCACGCTTCAGACCACCATCGCATGCACGACATTCAGCCGGCCGACCCCGCCGCCTCTTCTCCCTCTGCTGCTGTACCGTCCTGGGGCATTGTGGCTTGCTGAATGACGACGAGACCAACATATCCTTTAGTGAGCGACCGGACGTAAAGATTATTAACTGGTTTGAGGGGAAATTATTAATATTATCAAGAGTAGATAAACAAGAGTGTGCAACTCGCGGATAGGTTGGCCCACGGCGGAATTTTTTGTTGACGTAATCTTTTCGACGACGCACGCGCTGCGAGCCTTTTGGAGAGTTTTCCCTCGTGCACTTGGCTGGGCTTTACACTACAAGGTCGGTGCCCAGCACGTGCTCTCACACTGCTCTGCGGCAGAAACCGCATTTCTCTGAAAAAAGCTGACGTAAACAAAAAATTCCACCGTATCTGCAGATTGTGCAGGAGAGACCCGGAGTTGCACACTCTTGTTTATCTACTCTTGATATTATTCATCAGTCCATGGTAAAAAATAAAGTTGATTCTCTGGTCATGAGCCTGTGAAAATCGGTGCGAGCGAGCGATTTTTTATTTTATTTCCCACAATTTTTTTATTTCTAAAGATAGGGTCACACATTATGGGTGCGTTCTTATATTCTCTAGCTTCTAGAAGAAGAAGGAAAGAGAAGTCGAAGAAACTGGGATTACTCAAGAACGGGTCTCGAAGAATTCGGAGATATTTTGCACATGTCAAGCAAAGTGAAGCGCCAAAGGGGCCGCGATCTTGAGTGATGAATGTATGTGTGTATGCGAAAAGGGAAATGCGTACACTCATGATGAACACGTGGCTTTTAGCCGTAGTTCGCATGCGCTGATCCCAAACCGCGGGAATCTCCAAGTTTCAACCACCTCTGAAGCTTGGAGAGCTTGGAGAGCTTTGGAGAGCCTCCTAAAAGTCGGAGAGGATATAAGAACAGCTCTCGAACTTTTCGGAGAGTCTCCAACTTTTCCGAGAGGATTTAAGAACGCACCCTATGTACATGGTCATGACGTCACATGTTCATAATAAGTCAGGCCGGGGAGTAGAAAAATACCGGTATTTTACTACTCCCTGATTCATGCCTTTCGCATTGACCGTTTTCCTGCATGCATATGCATGCATAGAAATTTAAAAAATCGTCGGTGCGCGCTTACTTGAGAATCAAAGATAATTTTTACCATAGCCTAACTCCGATTACCGTAAAGTCGCGGATAAAACCCGGTTTTGCATACAAGCCCATCGCGGATAGAAGCCTGAAAGTCAAACGGGTCAAATGCATATAAGCCTGTCGCGCGTAGAAGCCTGGCTTCTGTGCAAGCGCGGATCGGGTAGGTCAAGAGTGCATGCACTATGTACAGTGCATAGTAAACGTGAATACAAGCCTGGCAAAAATATCAGTAGTGCATGTAAGCATGGTTTGCATACAAGTCTGGTTTGCATTAAAGCCTGATGCAGAAAGCGGCTTATGTGCTTATAAGCCCGGCTTTTATCCGCGACTTTACGGTAGTAACTTCGGCTCGGCTTTTCTTTTTTCTTTCTTTCATGTTTTGAAATATGTTTAAGTCACTGGATTTCTTTGTATTCTGTATCTAGTTATCGTTATCTTTTCCTCTAGCCCTCTCGCTTAGGATGAGCCTTTTTTTACGGAAGCTTAAGCGAGGGCTATATACCTTCTTTTTTGCAGGTTGTTGCCAATGCGAACAAGCAAAATAATAATTCCCGTAGCTATGCAAAAGATGTTACTTCAGCAACGTCTGGCGCTAGCCAGGGTCCACACAGCTTTAATTCCGTGTTTGTTTGCTTGTTCGTGCCATTGGCATGCCTGGCGCTATCCCGTACCTGTCCCGTACCATGCCATCAAGGTGTGTGTTTGTTTGTTTGAATTGTGCCGTCGCCCATCGGCGCCATGCCTGGCGCTATTCCGTACCTGTCCCATATCGTACCATCAAAGACAGCTAACCACAATATTCAAATAGGGCTTTCAAATGCAAGATCATAACGTGAAGCAACTTTGAAGAATGAGTATGTATGCGAAGTGTATCGGGGGAATGCATACAGGGCGATAGTGCGGGTTTGAATCTTATAGGTATGTCTTAAAAATTGGAGGAATGAAAAATTATAACATTCCTATGCTTTTTGCCTAGGTCATCAAGGTGGTAGACGGTGTCGTATTACCCTCGAATGCAAAGAGAAAGTTAATTTCAGCAAGGTAACGACCGCAGACTTCTGGCCTTCCAAGGTCACGGTTCGGCCATGGAGGTTCAGCGCTGACACCCTTCAACGATGATCCTGAACTTTCATGCTAACAAACCAACAATCCTGAACTGTCATGCTAACAAATCAACACACACAACGATGCAGCAACAACGACTAAATCCCAACGCCCCTGTATTCACCCCACGATCGAAACTAGCCCACCCGCTCTATCCCGCTCAGACCTTCCTCTGGCTGACCCGCACACATTGCATGTATGAACGCTAGATCAATTTAAAGGAATAAGCATGGAGAACTTTCCGAGTTCATCGAGCAGTACAAGCCCGACATTATTGGCATCACTGAAACATGGCTGTCTCAGCCTAACTTCCTTGTAGTTTCCTTGCAGGCTACGACTGTTACCGCTGTGACCGACCCACAGCGGACAACAAGAAGAACACTGAAAGATTTAGGGGGTTTGGAGGTGTCCGCTCAGATTTTCCAGTGCAGGTAAGCATCGCACTGATCTACACCTCCCCAAATTTGAGGCCACATGGGTCGAAATAACAGCTCATACATCGACCTCATCACCTGCACCTTCTGAATCTCTCACTACTGGATGCGTTTACAGGCCACCAAGCGCGTGTGCCACTTATATTGACAATTTTGTGGGCTTTCTGCAAACAGTCCTTTAGGCGACCAGACACACCACTTCCTCTATGCTTATGATGGGCGATTTCAATGCCAAGTGTAGCGACTGGCACGGCAATATCACGGACACTGCTGGACACCAGCTACAATGCCTTGTCTGCCAAGAATGTTTTCCCTCTCCCAGTTAGTCAACTTCCCTACTCACCACACTCCAGCCGGAGCAGGAGCAGCCTTGGACTTCGTATTATTACTCATACACCATCTGCGTTATCCATTTCAGACATTATTGCTCCTGTGGGTCAGTCTGACCACGACATCGTGTTGGATCGTAAGGAAGCGCCTAGCCTGCAACACTATCAAGAAGCAACGTTCTCTCCTGCATCAGGTACAGCCTATGAGCGCTCACCATCCACGCCAGATGACTTGATCGGCAGGTCACCGCCCCGCTATCATTTCCGTCCGATCACAAATGACCAGTGGAACTGTATAAACCAGCAGCTTACTTCCGTGGATTGGAGGGAGCTTCTTGGTAACACAAGTATCGACGTCGCATGCGAGAGATTCTTATCTTAACTCTCTGCTGCTCTCGCTAAGTATCAGTTCCCAGCTTCCCCTGTTAATCACCCCTCTTCACTGGGTCGTTCTGTCGACAAGCAAGCACGTCCACCCTGGCTGACGACCCTATCCGTCGCTTACTCATTTTGTCCGCTCCCTGGCTGGTGTGTCTTCGCATCATCCTGCACCTTCAGCAATGACCACCTCCACTGACACCCTCACACATAATCCTGCTGAGTTGACAGCTGCTCCCAACGAGCACTTTGTACGGGTTGGCACACAGGATGATCCTGACTGGCCCATCCCAGATCTGTCTCATCTCCCTTCTCTGGCCTCGAACCTCTCAAACATTTTTATATCCTCTGAGGCCGTGATTCCCTATATTGAGAAACTCCCCACAGGGAAGTCCCTAGGCTATGACGGTATAAGCAACCAGATTCTGAAGGCCTTGAAACTTTCTATCTCCTATCCTCTCTCTCTTACCTTCAATAATTCCCTGTCCAGCGGCGTTTTTCCTACTGCCTGGAAATATGCTGTGGTTGTGCCCATATACAAGAACGAGGGAAGCAGACATGATCCTGGTAACTATCGCCCTATCTCTTTGCTGAACACCTGCTCCAAGATACTTGAGAGAATCGTCTATGATCGGCTGTGCCATCATCTGGCACCTCTGCTCCATGATATGCAATCTGGGTTCCGCCATGGTGACTCTACCTCTCTACATATAACCAACCTTGTACAGAGACTATGCACCCTCCGAGACCGACGCCATTAGCTTGGCCTGTGTTTCTTCGACCTGGCGAAAAGTTTGACTCAGTTTTGCATAGGGGGTTACTAGCCAAGCTGCATGCTTCACCGGCCGCCTGCAGTCGTGGCTCACCTCCTATCTCAACCACAGGACTCAATCAGTCAAGCTTGGTCCAGTCTTCTCAGAGTCCTATCCCTATTTGCTCCGGTGTACCGCAAGGGTCCACCCTAGGACCGTTACTTTTCATGGCCTTCGTCAACGACCTCCCTGTCCTCAACGCTGGCGTGTCTCTGTTTGCAGACGACACTTGCATGCTGCGCAGTAGTCCCTCTGTGTCACGTCTTATATTGTACCTCCAAGCGGGTATCATGGATATCACCTCGTGGATGGCATTGTGGAAGCTAAAGCCTAACATCGGGAAGACCAAGGTAATGATCATTCCCCCTCTGTCTACTACTCTCTACTACCCTCTCCCTCCCATAGCATTCTATTTCTCCACCACTTCCATAGAATATGTATGTCATCACAGGCATCTTGGTGTCATGTTTGACACCTATCTCTCCTGGACTCACCATGTTGCCCACATATGTAAGAAGACGAGTCAAGCCATATGTATGATATACTCACACCGCGCCCGTCTTCCTGACAGCTATCGTGCTCTTTTTTATAATGCATATATCTTGCCGCATTTTTACTACTGCTGTACTGCCTGGACAAATCTATCTATTATAATACTGTGTTATCCTCGACCAGACCTCTCCTAGAAAGACGACGAATCATGATGTGGTGTCTTATCCATCGTATTCGACTTTCCAAAATACCCCCGCATCTTAAACAATTTGACTGGTTCCGAAGGGATAGCTCCACTAGGAACCAACTCTCCCTTCCTCTAGCCCGCTCCTCTGCATTGCTTCCCTCCCCCTTTTCAATGGCTATTTGCATTGGCTTTTGCTGCACCAGGAGACAAAGGGCCTTTCTACTTTAACAGCATTCAGGAACGCCTTGCTTTACCAGTAGACCACAATTTTAGTCCATCTTTGCTTCTTTTCCTTTTCTTTGTGACTTCTTACTCTTTCCCTTGTTAGCCGTGGCTGGCTATAAAAACCCTGCAATCGCCACGCAAAGTGATCATTGGCTACCCCAGCCATGCATTCCTTGGAATAAAAACAAATAATTATTAATATTATTATTGATCTGGCTATCATACAATCATGACTGTCGTCATTGCTACATAAAGTGCTAAAAAGTGTTACGTGTGTCTACACAAAGGGATCCACGATCCAGTAACCTGGTGACACAAGGAGGGTTGCACCTACCTCTCGCTCATGAGTGTAGCAGATTGTTGCGAAAAAGCTGGGAATTCCCAATACTATCCCGTTTTATATTCACTATGAAAGTCCAAATGCCGCTGAAATCTCACAACATGCTCGTCTTTTTTCCTTTCTAATGCTCTGGTGCTCGGATAGTCCTATAATGCGGAATATAATGCGGAATATAATGCGGGCATTATCCGCTGGACTCTAACTATAACCCACACACTTCATGTGCAAACTAGCCATTCTGATTTTAAAACGGTATTTAAAAAATGTTATGTTCTTGACGGTGTGGTCACTAATGAGTGTGGGTTCTGAGTCTGTTGTCGCCACTCGCCTGTTTGCACATGTTTCAAGACGGCCTCTTGAATGATTCTTGTTTGACCTTACCTTGTTTGTTTATTTATTTATTTTCGTCTGAGTCACGTTGGTGCGAACGTGCACGTGCAGATGCTCAGTCTATAGCCACGTGGTCTATTATGTTATTGCTTTTTTTATGGATTCTCCCCAGGCCTTAAGCCGTGTTCACAACTGGCGCGTAGACGCGGTACGCTTGCGGTTCATGCGTGCTCAAATGCGCGCTCAGGCTTTCTAAAAAGACAGCAATTCGGCACGTACGTATTTAGGGCGTGAGGCGCCTTTGAGTACTAATTTTTGGACCCCGCCAGTCAAAGTGACTGGCGTGTACGCTGGTACGCGCTGAAAATTCCAACATTTAGGAATTTCCATTTCGGCGCGTTTCCGTAAGCATGGCGCCCCAAATGCCAGCAAAAAATACGCACAACCGCGTGGTTTCACGCGTACACGCGCCAGTTGTGAACACAGCTTTTTAGCCTAACTTGAGGGAGTCGTTATTATGAGAAGTGTCATTGCTCTTTTTCAACCGACACTGATAATTCTCTCCATCTGTCTCATCGCGTTCTAATGTTCTCCTCCGTCTCCTTCTCTCTATTTTGTTTCAACTTCGAATGTGTAATTGTTTGAGCCAGGGAGTCGTAACAATTGATGTTATTTCACGACTCCCTGGTTGGAGCTGCTCTCATGATACATTGTTTGTATTTTTGAAAACCCTTTGTAACAGCGATCATGCGCTTGTACAGCTGCGCTGTGCTGTATGTGCTATGACCAGGGAGTAGTACACAACCCCTTGCACTATACTCCCTGGCTATGAGTATAATATGTCACGTGTACATGTACCGGAATGTGGTGGCGCAATCGCGCCGTGCCTTTGCTGGCCTTTGCTCTTTCCTTTTGTTTTAGGCTGCGTTTACACGGAGACGGAACGAAACGAAACGGAACGAAAAGGCGCTGGCCTCGAACCGTTTTTAAACCGTTTACATGAGAACGGCAAATCATTTAGAATCCTTTAAACGAAAACGGAAAACGGGCAATCAGGCTGGAGTTAGCAAGTGCTGGCTTGGCGCAAGGGCAGAATCTAACACGTTAGTTGGAGTTGGCATGTGCTGGTGGGCGCAAGGGTTGGATATTTCCCGCAAAATATAGTCCCACACGGATTGGTTTCCATGACCGCGCTTCGTTTCCAGTCGTTTTCACCGTTTAACTTACACGAGAACGAAAACGTTTTGAAAAGGTTTTCAAAACACTTTGAAGTGTGTTTCCATTTCGTTCCGGTTAGGTATTGTTTTTGGGCGTTGTCCTGAGTTGTCGTATAAACGATAGTAGAAAACGAACGATTTCGTTCCATTTTGTTTGGACTTCGTTGTCGTGTAAACGCAAATCGTTGTCAATCGTTGTCGTGTAAACGCAGCCTTAGTTACGGTTATAATTTGTTCGTATTTTGTTAGGAATTTCCCAACAGGTAATGTTGTCTTTTTACTGCGAACCCTAAATGTGACTTTGTGAGAGCGATGGTTGAAGTCTTTTGCGAGGAGAAATCCAGAGCGTCTAATGGTGTCTTGTCCCATTTGCGTTCGAAGAGTGTGCCTGTGGACGTGGATCGGATTTTGAATTCCTGCCCGGAACACGTATTTTATGAAAGGTCAATCTATGGAATCATGAAAGACAAAATACAGGGAAGGTGCGTCGAATTAGAAAGAAGTATTGGTACACAGTCAAATATAGCCATAGTCAAACGCTTTCGATAGAATAATCATCAATAATTTCTAATGGAGCAAGAAAAAGAACATTTGGAACTTGCGATGAGTTCCTTTCCTTTGTCTAATTTGATTGGCTCAAAATAAGAGTTTCACATCAAATAGTGAAAATATCGTACTGGAAGACAACACACACTGTAGGTATGATTAAAAGAAAGGGAGACTGGGCCAGACAACACTCGGCCGCTTGTCAGCTGCTAGGAAATAAAAAAATAAAAAGGGCACAGTACCGGTAGTATGGGATGAGAAAGCATACAACAGGGCTATGATCATAGTCTTAGCATCTCCGCATGTATGTGAATGTGTGGGAATGTATCGAAGTTTGATGGGTGGAATGATCATAGAACCTTCATCTCTCGGCCACAAGAACACACTCTCTTCCGGAATAGTCATTTATACAATTAATAGAAAGATCATGTTGACTGGATTGTTGAGACACTGGTTTGGTCAGGAATACTTACTCTAGTATTATTATCGCTTTGGGAATACAGAAACACGTTGGGAAAAATCATTTACTTCTGTAATGTTTTAAAAAACAAGCGTGTCGGAGACAGCAATTATAATATTATAGCAACAAGGATGATCAATATCGATGTAAACATATCCTTATAATTATGTCTTCATGCATGAGTGAAAAGTTAAGCGATGATTGCAAGGCACACAATGAACAAGAAAGAGAGCATTCATTCTGGAATAGTCATCTGCATTGGGAATGCTCATCCACACCGGGCATACTCATTTCTATTGGGAGTATCCATCCACATTGCAGAAGAAGAGGTCCGTTGTCTCCTATATGATGTTCCCTAGTAAGACAAACCACAGCCAACATACATTACTTCAGGTCAGAAGTCTAGCAATGTGGATCTGCCGGGGCTACCCCCTAAAACATCATCTTGATCATTGCCTGGGAGTGCCATGTCTAGTGCATTCGAATGAAAATGCAGAGCAGCCTACTGAACCACCTGGCAAATATTCCTCTGCATTAGCAGAGAAATCTGCACTTGAAATTCTTGAAGTGCTTGGGTAGGATTTCTAATTGTTTCCTTTTTTCGGAATTTTTTTGGTAGGCGTGAGTGTTGAAGTCTTAAAAGAGAATAATATTGAACGGTCTCTGCTAGGATGACAGTGCTGCACCATAGTTCAGTGGTTAGAGCATTGCTGGCTTCAAGCAAACGTTCCTGGTTCCAGTCCTGGTAGTGACAGTCAATTTTTTCTTCAGAACTTTCGATTTTTTAAGTACTACTTTCTCCGCGATGGGAGCTGAAATATTTGAGCTGGTGCGCATTTTCCTTACTGATCGTGTCATGGTGAGTTCGACTAGCTGTGATCACTCAGGCGTAACCACCTGCACATTTCTCTGGTTCAACCCAGCGGTGTAAGGTTCGAACCACATGAACACAATACATATTTTCAATAATAACCCTTTTTTAGGGCAGGGCGCCCCTGTGGTAGAACCCGCTCGTTGCCTACTACATCTACTCATCCCCATCACTCAAAATACTGATCTCTGTTCGCGCCGGAGCAGGCGTACAAATGAGTTCGCTGAACGAACTCCAGCGCTTGGCTCATGCTGGTTGAGGAAACAACAGGCAAGAGCCGTGCAGTGATGCACGCGCGTGCACCATACCAGTGATACTGAAACAGAGGGCACGCTGTGGATTCGCTCAAGGAAATCGGATTATCCTATTGGATGTTGGTAGAAACAAAAATTCCCAGCACATGATAAATCAGCCACAGCAGGCAGCAGGCACCTCGTGAACACCAGGTGGCATTGTGAATCAGTGTCGCTCCTGGATGGGCTAGCATGCACAGGGAAGAGTGAGCTCCGTTGTGGGGAGCAAACCCTTCGCTGAAAAGTCATCGCCGAAGTCACTGCCACTATTTCGTACTGGTGTGCACAGGGCAGGCTGGCGACTTTGTAGTTGGTTTGAAGTGACAGCGTTGTGAATGACCGAGGGTCCTGCACGTCTGTTCCAGGAATGATGCTGACTCACGCTGCTATCTGTTGTTCACGAGGCGTTTGTCGCGCTGGAAACGGAGCGTCTCTGCAAGTTTGTAACCATGGTGATGGTTTGGTCAGGAGAGCACTATATAAGTGGTGCTCCTCAGATAAAATCTTCCTTACCCTACTCAAACTCAATTGAGGCGGGGTGAATTTCCTGAAATTGTGTTTGTTGAGCAGGGAGCGGTGCTTTCTTGCAGGTCGGCGGAAAAGCTGAAGCTCCAGTGTCGGGACCCAACCCTTTCCTAATACGAACGTCCTGAAAAGCGTTTAAGAGAGCATGTCTGAGAATACCAAAGTATGTGTGCAAGTGGATCTCTCCGATTTCGCTCAAAATTTGCAGGTAGGTTCCCTTTGGGGTGTGGATCGATTATGCAAAGCCCTTGAAAAAGTTTCTGAAGGGAACCTTGAAATTTGCATACCCCTCAAAAATGGCCGAAATATCACATTATTTATGGGTCTAGAAACGAGTCACGCCACAGCGTATACGAACAAGCTATGAACAAAACTCCATCAAGCCAACATTGCCTCACCTTAGAAGAGTTCCTGGAGCAGTACCGCTTAGCCACGCCAGCATCCCAGAAGACGAGGTCCATCACCCCCTGACGCCACAAATGATCGTCTTGAAAATAGCCAATTTACAAGCGCTGGCAAAACAGCCAGCTACGTCCTCAATTGGCCAGAACTATACACCGGCAGATAGTAGAACACCTCTTCTAGCGCTGAGGACATGTCCCCCATCTTCCTTTTGGGGTTTTCTTGAAATAAACTTTTTTGAATTTTTCCACTCGACCATGCTGAAATACGGCCAAAGTCATACCTGCGCAGGAAAGCTCGCCACTCCGCGACGTCTCCTCAGCAATTTCTACTTCAACACTACTCCCAAGGCCGCAGAACAAAGTGTAGTGTTGACTCTGACAAGGAAAAGCAGCGGTGATCACTTGTCACTCCAAACGACAAGCTTCTCCTTGCGCCACCAATAATTTTTTGTGCGACTGTTGCTGCAAAAGTGACTGAAGGCCTAAGCGCAGTTTTTGAATTTTATTGCAAGATGCACGGTGAAATCACGTGCCTTGTAACGCAAGAATGCCAAGTCGCGTGGCCCACGGCTCACGAGATTTCAGAGTCACCTTTGTCAAGTGCGCTTGTTACTCGCCTAGAACGCCCGTTGGTCTGGAAGTGATCACACTTGTGTTGTTACGGCGCTCAAGAACACGCTGACCGTGTTGTAGGCCTACGAACCGGGACTTTCCCTGACCATGTAGGTCGAAGACCAGTGAAATGATGATGAAATCACATTCTTTATGACGTAAGAAATCTCTCATGCAGTTCACGCGACAAGTGCGTGCAGCCAGTGCTGCTCGCGTGCCAGTCAACACAAAGGGACCGAGCTAGTCGCTTTTGTCGAGCATCGACATGAAAACGAGGGACTTTTAGTATTACTGTTGGACTATGTTCGGGATTGCAGGAGGTAAGTGTGAAAGACGAATAACTCTCCATGCTGTACGGGGCATATTTCAACGGCTTGCTGCCATTGCAACACTCCTAGGACAGTTTGTGGGGGTTCTCAGCAGTTCAAGCAGGAAATGAAGCTCATCTTACCTCTGCCATCATGGTCCGTTCCGAGTAGCGTTCCAGGCACATTCGCGATCGATGGCCGCGTAACGTGATGCAGGAAGCGTCATCCTACGTCACAGAGCACGCGATCTCACCGTGCATCTTGCAATAAAATTCAAAAACTGCGCTCAGGCCTTCAGTCACTTTTGCATCAACAGTCGCACAAAAAATTATTGGTGGCGCAAGGAGAAGCTTGTCGTTTGGAGTGACAAGTGATCACCGCTGCTTTTCCTTGTCAGAGTCAACACTACACTTTGTTCTGCGGCCTTGGGAGTAGTGTTGGAGTAGAAATTGCTGAGGAGACGTCGCGGAGTAGCGTGCTTTCCTGCGCAGGTATGACTTTGGCCGTATTTCAGCATGGTCGAGTGGAAAAATTCAAAAAAGTTTATTTCAAGAAAACCCCAAAAGGAAGATGGGGGACATGTCCTCAGCGCTAGAAGAGGTGTTCTACTATCTGCCGGTGTATAGTTCTGGCCAATTGAGGACGTAGCTGGCTGTTTTGCCAGCGCTTGTAAATCGGCTATTTTCAAGACGATCATTTGTGGCGTCAGGGGGTGATGGACCTCGTCTTCTGGGATGCTGGCGTGGCTAAGCGGTACTGCTCCAGGAACTCTTCTAAGGTGAGGCAATGTTGGCTTGATGGAGTTTTGTTCATAGCTTGTTCGTATGCGCTGTGGCGTGACTCGTTTCTAGACCCATAAATAATGTGATATTTCGGCCATTTTTGAGGGGTATGCAAATTTCAAGGTTCCCTTCAGAAACTTTTTCAAGGGCTTTGCATAATCGATCCACACCCCAAAGGGAACCTACCTGCAAATTTTGAGCGAAATCGGAGAGATCCACTTGCACACATACTTTGGTATTCTCAGACATGCTCTCTTAAAAAGACCCGGACCATGAAGATGTTTCCTTTTCCCGGTTCACAACAAAAGATGACGTTTCTCACCATTGTGAACTTCCTTCCCACCACTGTATTCCAGGCTCCTGTTTGTTGACGGAACATATTCACAAGTCAACGTCAACTTCCAGCTGACTATCATTTCCAGTGCATACACACATAATTATCACATACACTTCTTCACTCTCTTCGGAAGCGGAAAGGCGGTTCTTGACCGTCGAATTTGTTTTCTTCACTCTCTTACATTTCATCTCTTCGTTACCTTGTTAAGGGGAAGAAACTCCCCTTACGGATTTGCAAAATAAAACAAAAGTTCAGTAAAAGAAGGTCAACAACTTCACTTTGTCATTTTCCATTTTATCAAGTGCATTGTGACTCATCCCATGGTGGTGTATTGTAGGAAGTAGCAAGGATCATTTGATTCGCGCCGCAGGTATTCACACCGAGATCATGGACAGAGAGGTTCTGCAAAACGAAAATGCGTACAAACTGTCGCCCTACGTCATGAAGTGAGAAATGTCGCACGAACTTTCGCAAAGCTTTGAACACGAAATGAACTTTCGTGGGAAATTTCGTGAGATCAGAACATGGTGTACGTGCACTTGGCATGTGCAAACTACGAAAATTTGCAGACCACAACGTTTGTGCGAAAATTCTTACACATTTTTGCAAGACCTGTCACGAAACTTCGTTCGAAATTTCGTTTTGCGGAACCTCTCTAATAGTTGTCCTTCGTGGCGTTCTACCAAAGTGTTGCCATTATCTGTTGCAGTTATTCTTGCAGTTGTTCTTGTCCAATTTCTTCTTCCAGCTGGTTGTGCAGTTCTGAAGCATTGAAGAAAAATTGAGAGGCCTTTTTCATCTGAACAACACTTACTTATGCAACGTGGTAAATTCTTCCAGATGCCATCCGGCCCGCAGGCCACTTCTTCCTTGAGGGTGTGAAGTTGATAGCCTGTCTCACATGTAACATGCAGATCCTTGCTAATGGATCGGTATCCGAGTAGATTGAGCTGCGCTTCATCAACTCTGCATTCTGCAAAGAGGAGGAAGAAAAACAGGCAGTTTTGTCAATTCGAAGACACGCTAAAACATTGAAATCGACTACACTGGAAGATGTCTGAGAAAAGATTTATCTTTACCTTTGGTACAGTCGATTTTTTGCACGGCGCCTGGGTGACTGAGTCTTAAAACGAGACTTATATTGTAACAGGACTTGCAACTAAAGGTGAAGTAGGCACCAGTTTGCACTTACCTGGGATACCTTCAATACAACGTAATTTATCGCCACTTCAACTCGTCGAGTGACGGAAACCCGTGAATGAAGTAAAAAGACGACAATCTGACAAAGTCATGCTGAACTTCATGCAATTTGTGCATTAGAACGACAGCACAGCAGCTCAGTTAGTGAGGGATAGAATTGCAATTCCGCCTAATAAAAGACTACAAGCAGCTATTCTCTGCTGCCGAATGTTGCTGCATCGGCCTCTTATTGAACTATTACAATTATTCATAAAAATCACCATGGAGTGCAGTAGAGCGTTTTTTAGCTCTGGTTTTCAGTGGGGTATTTTTGGTAAGGTGTGCCCATTGTGGCTAGACTTTGCAATAATGAGCCCAGGAGTTATCGGTGTAGATGTTCAAGACCAATTTGTCGATCCTAATCCAACTGCTGGCTCAATAACAGAGTCAAGCTCTCAAACTTCTATTGCGCAGCTCGTAGAATTGTTCCAAGCCAAACGAAGCGCAGCGGAAGACAGGGAGAAGAGGCTTGGGGTTTGCATAGACCTGTTGACTCAACAAGTACAATCTTTGACGCCGATGACCACCAATGCTACTTTGCATTCGGTTGAGTCAACATCAACTAGCTTGGCCGCCATTGCCAGTGCAGGCGCGAAGAAGAAACATAAGCGCACAGCAGAGTGGAAGCAACAACAGAAAAGACGGTACAACCTCTAGTACGTTGGCGTCGGTTGAGACCCCGCTTGGTTCAATCAGCGACTTTCAAACGGATTCAAATAGTGATTCCCACGGCACCAAGCATGGTTAGGTTACAGCTGGCGATGCAAGTGATCCGCTTTCCCATCTTCAAAAGTTTGAGGAATTGTCCGAAGATAGTGATTACAATGGTGCACAGTGGGAGGTCGTCGCATCGAAGAAAACCAACAGAGAGAAAGAGTGTCCTGTCCATAGGCGATTTAAAGAAGGATATGTCAGTTGGGCAGCTGGAAAACTTCCTTGTGAGCAGTGCGGATAGAGCTGGTGTCTCTGTTCGTGTCTACAGCTCCAAAGTTTTTTTCAAAGGCAGACTCGTGATCTGCACGGATTGTTATAAACTCTAGCACCAGCGGTTTTGTTCAACACCAAAGCTTCTGGCCCAATCCAGCGTACACCAGGCAGTGGAAGTTTGAAGGCAACAAGATGCCCCAACATGAATCCAATTATCCCGGCTCCAATTCCGTCGGCGACAAGTCTGTTGGGAATGGACAGGCTATGGACTGAATCATCACCCATGGAGCTGTCAGCAGCAATTGTGTTTCTGAACGTGTGTAGTTTGCGCACTAAAGTAGCTGAAGTCAAGGAGTTCATGTCCTCCACAGACATACATCTGTTTGGAATTGCAGAGACCTGGCTGAAATCTTCAGTAACTGATGGCGCGATTTCAATTCCTAACTATAATTCTATCGTTTCGTAAAGACCGCCAATTGCATGGTGGAGGTGTGTGTGTCTACTGTCATAAGTCGCTAGCAATACGTGGCAGGATGGACTTGGAATGTGAGACCTTAGAACTGGCCTGAGCTTGGCACTGGCGAGCAGAGAATACTTGTTGCATGTGAATACCGACCACCGAACATGCGTACTGCTTACTGGGAAGATTTCGAGGAGAACATTGATTATGCTTCCCAAGGTCGTCAATAATCTATTGTGCTTATTGGTGATCTGAATACAGTCTACTCGCGATAAGTCACGCACTTTTAAGTCACGCACTCGCGATAAGTCACGCACTTTTTCATCCAGGACACCCATCTCAAGAATTTTTTTATTTTTCGGGATTTTGCGGATTTCGTGGATTTCGTGAATATTTGCGAATGATGTGGTTTTCAATGATGGAGCTTGAATACTGTAAAGGTAAGAATATAATTATTATGTGCATATTGTATGAGAGCCTTCTCCCTCAGGATCACCCACGACAATCCAAGTTTGTCAGTCACAAATTTCTCCCTTCGAAGCAAAATATACTTCACTAGCCGCTCCTCAATTTTCCCGAACTGGGAACTTCTGTTGTGGACTCCTTGTGGACCAAACGGATTAGCATCGGCGAGTTTGCCAGCTTCAGCATCCCTCAGCCAGCCGCGGAACTGCGCCTCCGGAACATTGTTCAACTTTGCAAATTTTCGAGCAGACGTTTTCCACTCTCACGATAGAGACGAACCAAACGCAGTCGATCAGCCACTGTTCGCTGTTCTTTCGTTTTCTTATGAGAAGGCATCGTCAAGCAAAGGGAAACGAAGTGTTGCACGACGGAAACAGAAGTGCGTCTTGTCAAACCTCTACCAAAACTAACGGAACGACGTTACGTCGTTACTTGTCTTTCTCGATCATGCCTTCTTCATTATCGATCATGGCTTCACGCTGTGGTAGATCTACGTCTCGTGTACAGCAGTGTACAGTGTACCACAGTAGTGCACAGTCAGTGTTCAATACAGACTAGACAGTGTAACGACGTGCGCATGCAGCTCAGTGCTTGTACGCGTGTTCAGCACACATGTCCATATGCAGAAGAAAAAATGATGGCTGTACATATGCATGACGTGGTGCATAATGTAAGTCGCGCACTCGCGGTAAGTCGCGCATTTTCTGTTCCAGGACACTGTGCGTGACTTATCGCGAGTAGACTGTATTGACCTTGGCAACACGCAAACTGGTTCCCCGTACATCGCATCCTCGCCCGCTTTGGCTTACAGAACTACGTGAACACTCCTACCAGAGTCACGAGTCACTCACAATCTACCATAGACCTATTCCTGTCCACCACCCCCATTCAAGGTCCTACTGAAATTGTGTACCTGGATATCAGCAACCATTATGCTGTCCTAGCTCGTCTTCCTTGCAAATCTAGCTCAAGACGCCAGAGGGAAACAATAACAAAGAGCTGTTGCCTTCATCATGTTGATTGGAATACTTTTCAAGTTGACCTAGCCTCTACGCTGAATTCATCATTTAACGAGGATTCAATCGATAGCATGGCATGCTCTGTCACTGAAAAACCTCTATTTCATAGAGCAATGTGCTACAGCAGATCAGAAGAAGCTTTGGGCAGTCATGAACACCGTAACAGGCAGAACGAAGAGTCGGCACGCACCACAAGTAACTGTCACAGAGCTAAATGATGCATTTGGAGCCATTGTCCATGATCCCCATCAACCAGCCACATTGCCAATGCCAGCTGGCCCAACTGGCTCAGTGGGACTGACATCTTTCACTGCAGTTCAGATTCCTGATGTTTCCACGTGATTACAGTGCATCAACCCCACTAAAAGCTACAGCCTAAGTGTGAATTTATTTCACTTCTGCTTGCAAAGGTTGGGCTTAGGCTGTTAGATAGGTCGTCAAAACCTCGTTAGTTATGTCCAGTGGTTGTCTCTTGTTGTCGCACTAAATGTCAAGCTTATTGAGCTTTCTCGCACTGGCACCTTTGTGTCATTATTGCTATGTGTATAGGTCACGCATTTTCGCTGTTTACTTTAGCTATCTTCTTCTTTGCGCTGTTTTCCCACCTCCTTACTGTACTTAATCCACTGTTCCTGTTCCTTTTCCTTTGCCTGTATTTCACCTGATGAAAAGGCTTGAAAGTATACTTGTAAAACCAAAAAACTTTCAAGATATTCATAAAGAGCCTGACGTGTGTCCTTTTTTATGAGTATTGTCTCAGAGGAAACTGTTTACTGTTCATATTTGATCATATTCACCTATCACACTACTGTTATACTGTCGTAGTACGTTATTTTGTGTACGTCTTGTGTACGCCATGTTGGTGCATGCGCATGTTGCTGGGGTGGGAAAGCAGTCTTCGTCTTGAGTTCATGATGTCTTCGTCTTGAGTTTGTCATGTCTAGTTGTGTTTCGTCGGCGTGTCAATACAGACTCTTCTAAATGTAGTTATCGTCGTCTCTTTGTACAAGTGTGGAGATGGCACGGGACTGGGAGCAGGCAGAGAAAAGCGAGTTACAACATTGGTGGCAGCGGTGATAGAAATTTGTTGTCAACTTCTGGATTCGTCCTGCGTAGCCTTCGCTTCCAGTTTCCGATGTCATCTCCAGTCGTACTATCGTCACAGTTTTGTCCGTCTTGAAGAAGTTCGTCCGTCGTCTCCGTCCTTCATCATTCGTCTCTCCCGTCTCTTGGCAGTCGTCGTCACTGATGGTCCCGGACACGACGTAAAACTGTGCTCAGAAGAAAAGCTTAAAAAAAGAAGAAGGACGGATGGTCCCGGACACGACGTAAAACTGTGCCCAGAAGTGAGAATGTCGACGCTGAGCAGCTCTCCTGGAGATGGTGGACGACATGGCAGACGGCGTGAGGAGTTTCGCTGGTGAGAGGGTACGTGTGTTGTTGTGAACGTGAGGAGTATGTGAGTTTTGTATTTTCTGTTCTCCCAACATTTTTGTTCATTATTATTTGCTCTCCTCGAGGGTAAAGAGGCGCCCGCACAGCACGTGTGTTCAGTTCGTTTTTTTGATTTGCTCTTCTATGAGGATAACTAGAGGCCGCCACAGAGCCAGTGGATTCTGTTCTTTTTGTTATTCCTATGATTTGTGCTCTCACATTTTAGAATTTTTGCGTGATCGTGAGGTGGTGTGTTGAGTGAAGTAGTTAGAGTTTTTGAGGTTATCAGCTCCCAAACGTGTGACAGCGATCGTGGCTGGTGTTCTGGGTGGGCGGACAGAGTTTTTTAATAATCTGCAGTGCAGGCAGAGGTTTTATTTATGGGTGTGACTGGTATGGTATGATTGAGTGATTTGTGTGATCTTTTCCTCTTTTTACTCTGTTTATTATTAGAATCGAGGACGATTCTAATCTTGGGAGGGAGTTATGTTGTAGTACGTTATTTTGTGTACGCCGTGTGTACGTCATGTTGGTGCATGCGCATGTTGCTGTGGTGGGAAAAGCAGTCTTCGTCTTGAGTTCATGATGTCTTCGTCTTGAGTTCGTCATGTCTAGTTGTGTTTTGTCGTCGTGTCAATAAAGACTCTTCTAAATGTAGTTATCGTCGTCTCTTTGTACAAGTGTGGAGATGGCACGGGACTGGGAGCAGGTAGAGAAAAGCGAGTTACAACAATACTGCTATCATACTACAGTATTTCCCCGTAAGTTAGTTCTCCCCAATGACTTAGTACCGCCCTATAAAAAATACACTTTCCACTGCCGAGGTTATCACCTCGAAAGACAGTTCCCCCCGAAAGATAGTAAGTTCGTACCCGTCCTACATGTACAGACACCGTACAGTACATACATCATATGCACGGACACTAGAGTTGCGCAGGCCTCCCATTGCGTGTCATTTACCCCCGATAAAAAAGTACTCCCCGAAAGATAGTACCACCACCGAAAGTTAGTACTCATGTGGCTGCTAAGTTTGAAAGTTAGTACGTACTAACTTACGGGGAAATACCGTATCATACAGCCAAGTAGCTGTGGCATCATTTATGATCCAATGCCTGCACCTATGGTGAAGTAAAATAAGGGTAACATTTTTTATATTGCAACACCTCAAGACTCGGTTGAGAGACCAGTCAATGTGAGGAGAATAGCACTGAAGTTGCTTTTTTTCTTCCTATTATTCACAAACCCAACTCGTAAAATAAATAATTATGTGGACGAAAGCAAATAGGTACTAAGTAGGGGCTGAACTGGGGGGGGGGGGGGTTCCAATTGAAGCTGATGATGATAACACTTACCAATTATGCACAAGAACATCAAATTAGCGGGGTAGACATTGTCAGCGTAGGATCGCGAACTGATTACTCCATAATCTACATAGAAGATAGAGATGTCCCCAAATACTGCCCAATTTGGTCCCCACGCCAAGTCACTCCCGTTCAACGGTAGGTCCAGGGTTGAGTATGGCAGTGTTCCATTTCGCTTCTGACAATCAGATCTGATGGTCGCTACGGATACATGTCCTGTCCTGTCAATGGCGTACACGGATTCTCGTAACCAATGGAATGTTGCTGCAGAAGCAGATTTTGCAAAGCAAATTAATCAACAACGCAAAACAGATTATTGGATAAAATTTGTGCATTCCGCACAAGCCCACGTTTGTGCCAATCATTGACAGTGCTATTCTCCTGCGATATGATCAAAATACTGTCTTGTGCAGCATGTCATGCGATGGAATGGTTGCCAACAAGACATGCAATTGAATGGTTGACAACAAGACATGAAATGGATGGGTTGACAACAAGATATGAATTGGAATGTTTGTCAACAAGATATGAAATGGAATGGGTGCCAACAAGACTTGAAATGGATGGGTTGACAACAAGATATGAAATGGAATGTTTGTCACCAAGATATGAAATGGAATGGTTGTCAACAAGATCTGAAATGGAATGGTTGACAACAAGATATGCAATGGACTGGTTGTCAACAGGATCAGAAATGGAATGGTTGCCGACAAGACATGAGATGGATGGGTTGACAACAAGATATGAGATGGATGGGTTGACAACAAGGTATGAAATGGAATGGTTGTCAACAAGATCTGAAATGGAATGGTTGCCAACAACACATGCAATGGATGGGTTGACCACACGATATGAAATGGAATGGTTGTCAACAAGATAAGAAATGGAATGGTTACCATCAAAATATGATATGGATGGATTGACAACAAAATATGAAATGGAATGGTTGTCAACAAGATCTGAAATGGAATGGCTGCCAACAAGACATGAGATGGATGGGTTGACAACAACATATGAAATGGACTGGTTGGCAACAACATATGAAATGGAATGGTTGACAACAAGACATGCGATGGAATGGTTGACAACAATACATGAAATGGATGGGTTGACAGCAAGATATGAAATGAAATGGTTGTCAACAAGATCTGAAATGGAATGGTTGCCAACAAGAGATGAGATGGATGGGTTGACAACAAGATATGAAATGGATTGGTTGTCAACAAGATCTGATATGGAATTGTTGACAACAAGACATGAGATGGAATGGTTGACAACAAGAAGGAATGGCTGACAATCAGGTACCAGAAAGAAGGATTGATAAGAAGACATTCTTCCTGACCTCAAGACAACTTACGAACACATTTGTCAATCTTATGCCACCAGTGTACTAGTCCTATAATAGTCGTGCAGTACGGCGTGCCCTGTGGTACATTACTGTGGCCTGCTCTGCAAACAACAGACCCATCTCTGTAAACCTGCTGGTACGCTCCCAAAAGGTTATTGGCTCCATTGACCACGCAGTCTGGGAACACGGAAGAACATGAAAACGTACTGAAGTCGCCTAGAGGCTTAGGTGCTATCCGGCATTATCGATAATTTTCACGAAACGAAAAAGTGTACCGTATTTTACCGGTTATAAGTCGACCCCGGTTATGTAGTATGAACTCTTTTACGCACTTTACTTGTATGCATGCACGTGCCGTTGCGACACGTGTTCACGCCCACCATGTGGTCTTTACACTCCGAGCATGCGGGCCCCTCAGGTACGCATGTGAGGAACTGATCATGCTTGTTCTGGTTTTCGGGAGTTAGGAGTTTGTTTGCACGAAATGAAGTAGAAGCCTTTGCGGTGTGTGTAGTTCTGTTGTTGTCGGACCTGGATGGTTGCTGTGCGATACACCCAAAACAGGTTATAGGTAGACCCCCGTATCCAGAGGTCTTAATTATGTTTTTTAAGTTTTTGCCCAACGAAGCACTGCTAACTGCTCCCTGCTACTAACACATGAACAAATTACATAAACACTCCTCATTGGATTCTGAAACATCCAAATCCTTGAAAAAGGCAAATAAACTTGGTAAAAATGCATACACATGGTGCACTCGTGTATTCAGTGCAGGTTATTTTTGGAAGATACCGATAATTCCCGGTTATAAGTCGAATCCCGGTTGTAAGTCGACACCCACCTTTTCTCCTGCTATTTTCAGTCATAAAGGGTCGACTTATAACCGGAAAAATACGGTAGTTAGGACCCCCACCCACCCACCCACCTGAATGAAAAATAGATTTACTTGACAGCGAGAATACATTGATGTCTCTCATATCAATATTTTTCAAAAACGAAACTCCCCTTGACCCGCCCACCCATAAACGAAACTTTTTTCTCTTCGTGGGCACAAAACTCGTTCCCATGTGTTTTTTCTATTTTTACATTATAACTGGTTAAACAGGAAATGCTTTGAGAATCGAATCGCTAGTGTCACCCTGTAGACACGAGACTTTTTTATTTTTTTGTATTTATGGATTCTCCACAGGCCTTAGCCTAAATCGAGGGAGTCTCCGTCAACAGCTTATGAAGAAGAAGCTGAGGAGAAAAATAAAAATAGGAAATAGAATGATGCGGGGTGGTAGTAATATAACACAGTGCTCTATGACATCGCTACTCTACGTGGAAAGAAACCAGAGGGCTCATAACGGGTGATAGCAAAGTGTATGCGAACACTTTGATGTCCCAGTGCTGTACACTGCCCGCTGCCGCTTTCTCTACGTAGTATGACCAACTAGCTACAGTCAGCATGAACGCATCCATAATGAGTGTTTTACACAAAGTGTCTGTAGTCTTCGCTGGCAAACAGTGCCCAATACCTTAAAAAGGGGCAGAGCTTACCACACAGGGCAGAACAACAGAGACCAAAAATCCTTCTCGTGACTCCGAGTTTCGTGTTTCAAAAAACTTTGTTTCTGATGAGTGGTTTTTGAAACACGAAATTCGGAGTCACGAGACGGATTTTTGGTCTCTGTTGTTCTGCCCCGTGTAATGAGTGTCTTAGCAACTAAACTTGTCAACCAAATCCGCCATCGGTGGCTCGAGCAGTCCCAGTTTGGCACATCATGTGATGCCCACCAAGCAGTGACAGCTGCGACAGGCAGCGACAGCACGCAATTCAACATCTTGGGCTTCTGCAGGCTACAAGCATGTATGGCACCGAGTGTGCTTGCAGTGCAGAAACCGGCAACTCATTGGGTGAGAGATGTGTTTAGCGCTTTGCAAGACGTTGAACTTTGGACAAACATAGTCTTGCAATGTCATGCAAGAGTACACAACAGGCATTATTTTGTTTCACAAGCTCCACATGTTGCTTGCATATCCATGTGGCAATGTTGTGGATCGTTTCACAGAGCCAGGCACATTTTTGGTTTGTTTTATTTGAATTTGCAGGACCAAACAAGCAGAGATACTCAACAACAAGGTTGAGCCAGGAAAGGCACACGCACGATTCACATACTTCAATATTTGAAGTATTAATTACACCCATACTAAGTTGAGCCAGCACACGCAAAAGTCACCCTTAGTGACATATTTTTAGAAACTGAGATGACAGTGGATAAAGGCAGATGGATTTATGCAGAATTCAATGCAAAAAATGTTTGAAAATTCTTGAGTAAAACTTGAGTTACGGGTCTTAGAAAATAGAGCATTTTCCCTGATATATCGCACATCACACGAAAACAGAGAATGTTTGAAGTGCGTTTTTCTCAGTTTGAAGTGCGTGTCACTAAGGTCGATTTCCGCGTGCGCTGCCTCAATTATACTGCTGCTGATGTATCCAAGTAGAACTGAACAAAACATCATTGTACTAAACCAGGCGCATGTAGTCAGACTGCAAGAAGCCACCAAAGCCACACACCCAAGAATCTATGCATCTCACCTGCACGGTAACCGCTTGCAGGTGGATTGACTGCGCAGAACAATACAACAATACACAGAAGGTTCTTGGCGCGCTTTGTCTGTGCAGACGCCGAGACCACCAAGGTCGGCTGAGCACCAGGGCCCCGCCACCACTTTCCGCATTCATTCGGGAGCATAGTGGACTTAGTAAAAAAAGGAAAAAAGGAACTTTCTTTTAAAAGTCACATCTGCTAGCAAGGAAGAACCCTTGGTACATATGGAACTTGACTGGCGAACCATAAATCCATGCACCACACACAGCAACAACAGGTGATGGAGGGAAGAGCGTTCCAACGCCTCTTCACCCCGTGGCAAGTAGTCAAGAACAGAACAGTAAAGGGTGCTCTGGCAAGTAACATGTCACCACACTAATTACCTCTACCATTTCATGTGGACGTGTGCCAGCCTCCAATATGATGTAGACACTTGCTGGAACATAGACTCTGCCATCCTTCATGTATTAAAACAAACATGGCTGCTGGACTTAGGAGCCACTGCTTGAGGTTGTATGAATAACAGCAGCACGAGCATTAGAAATCTCTCCAATACTGTCTCAATGCCACACTCCGTTTGTGGGATCTTGATTCTAGATTAAAATCTTGGCTTTACCAAGGCTGTGTTTACATCAGAAATTTCAACTCGGGTTGAGTTCACCCCGGGTTGAAAGTCTGTACGATAGACGAAATAGGTGAGCGTTCACATGAAGACCGTTGACCGAATACTGATATGCCGCCAAAAGTCCACTTCTAGAGTCCTGTATGGTCACGTGAATATTTTCGCGCGAAATTATTTACATGTGCAGTGCTGTCCAAATCTGGCGCGAGATACACACAGAAGTACGTTAGTACGATTTCTCACTGTGGGTCAAGCACAATGCGTCATGTAAACGCGCCATTAATTTCGTGTACAAGGCGGGTTGAAATCCGACCCGGGTCGAACTCAATTCGGGTTGAAACCTCTCATGTAAACACAGCCCAAGCGAAACAAGCGACGAGGAGACAATAGTGGTAAAAATGGCAATAAATAAGCTCAATAAATATTGTTGAAAGTCACATGCAAGAAAAAGTTATGGAACTTAACTTTCATCATTTTTGGCTGTTGCCATGAGTGCACAATTGATCTTATTTATTGCCATTGAATCAAGAGAGGATTGATTTTTCACCATTAGCTTTTCAAAGGAGCTTGGGATTATTCTCTAGAGGAGAACTTGTTATATGGTCCAGGAAAATAGATGCCGTAAAGGTTCCCGCTATGGCCCTTGTAATTTGGGTATTTTAGCGATGCAATTTAGTGATATTTGGCGATGATTGCCATTGCGTTCCTGGTAGGGGTGAAACGATTAGTTCGAATATTCGAGTAGTCGTTCGAAAATTTCAAACGAGCGAGTATTCGAAATTTTGCACTCGATGTTTTGTTTTTTTGTTTTTTTAGTATTGGCATTCTATTTTTTCAAAAACTTCTGTTGTACCGCTCATCGACTGGTTGCATGCGTTATGCATGCATTTGAGTCAGTATTTTATGACATGGACGATGCGATCACCACGGCAAGTAACGTTAGTTTGTTATGAGATAATGAAAGTACTATTGTACTGGTGAAAATCGTTACTTTACACAAGACGTTGGCGGCTTTTGTTCTATGTTCACGGATAATTTCTTCCGAATTGGTCGAGAACTCACAAATCTAGTGCTATTGAATTTTGATAAAATACTCGAAATAATCGGATACTCGATCGAATATTATGAATGAGTGATCGAGTGGTCAAAAATTCTCAAAATAGATACTGTAATTTCACAAATTTTCGGTGTACTTTTATTTTCGGTACTTTCGGTGCATCTGTTTCATACCTAAAATTTCAATACACCGAACAAACACTAACACACATAATCCAATAGGGAACTGTTTCTCTGCACCGAAAATTACTGTTCACCTAACCTAGCCTGTTGCCCTCATACCGAAAATATTGAGCACCGTAAATTTCTGAAATTAGAGTACTCGTTTCACCCCTAGTTCCTGGATGTAGCCCTGATTCGATGTGGTAGTGATGTGAAGACAACTCAGGTAAGGTAATGTTGCCATAGCGGTGGTTTGTTCTTAGCTCCATTGTGGACACTGCACCAGCGCTCGTTTGGACCCAAAATCCAGTCGCATTTTGGGTCCATTTTGAGGTGCTCCCCAGTTCCAAGGCGTCCGTAAGTTATGCAACGAGACGTTCGATGGTTGTTGTAGACCCCAAAGGAAACCTACTTGCAAAATTTGAGCGAAATCGGAAAGATGACCCAGCCCTGCTTTTTTTTTAATTCTTATTTTTTTATTTTTTTATTCTTACTGGTTCAACCCTGCTTTTTCAAACGGTTTTATTGTAATAATAATATTTTTAATTTTTACCGCCCAGGACCACACAAAGTCCTTGGCTACAAAAAAATGAAAATCTCTCCAAATCTCTCCAAACCAAACTCCAAATTCCTTTCCAAATTTTCGCCCAAGAGGGCATCTTCAGGGATATGTGACTCCTATGAACAAAACAACAATATAACTACAGAAAAAGGTAATAATAATAACGTGGCAATATACCAGGAACATCATAACTAGTGCTAAGAATTGAGACTAACATTGTAGATAATGTCACATATTCAGAAACAAAAACAGAACCTACCCACAATATCGCACGCCAGGTAATAGCCTAAAACAAATGTCTCAACTTGCAAGATCTCAAGTCAGGTGATGATGGGTCAGCGTGAAGTGTATGTCTCAACTGGTGTGATTGCCAATTAGATGTGCAGGTGACGAGGCCAGAAAGAGAGAGAAAGAGAGAGAGAGAGACAGAGGAAGAGAAAGAAAGTGTGCGTATGCATGTGTTTGTGTGTGTGTGTGTGTGTGTGTGTGTGTGTGTGTGAGCGTGCGTGTGTGCGTGCACGTGTGTGTGTGTGTGTGTGTGTGTGTGTGTGTGTGTGTGTGTGTGTGTGTGTGTGTGTGTGCGTGAGTGCGAGCCTCACGGGTGGTAATTGCATCCATTCGATGAGATGGTCTTGCCCCAGTAACCATGAAAGGAATTTGAAGTTTGGTTTGGATAGATTTGGAGAGATTTTCATTTTTTTGTAGCCAAGGACTTTGTGCGGCCGTGGGCGGTAACAATTAAAATCATGACAAGGCTTCAGAGGAGTCACGCCATTCTTATTAATAATAATACTACTAATAATAAATAAATAAATACAGTATACTAGTAATCAATCAGTACAATGCAAAGAAACCGCTAGAAGCAGTATGCGTAGTAGTCTACGGCCAAGATACCAGAAACCGTATCAAACTCAGCACGGGGTCGAGGTACTAAAACGATTACCAAACTAAGTCAAGAATTGACCATTACATCCCTAGCCCCGGCCAACCCAATTCTTCCTCGCTATTTCTCCTCCTTCGCACATTTTATCTCTTACTGGCCTCTGGATATCGTCAGAATAAATATTCGAAACATGTCCTGGTCCTCCACTTACGTTCGCAGATTGGGAAGTTGACCCAGTTTCCCTGGTGGCAATAGACGCGCTCTGGATTTTTCAGTGTGTGACCTGGTTTACACTGTGCTGAACCATTCTCGGGAATATTGAGAACACCTGTGCTATCCACCGTCGCAGCATAATTACATATTCCTAATTGAGTTAACAGAGATCAGCACAGCATGCACAACAGCGATGATTGGGCAACAGCTGCATACACATTAGCTTTTATATTATTTGGACAAGTTACTGGGTGCGATGCGCATTAATTTCCACAGCAGCAAGCGGACACATATGCCGCATTGGATATGAAGACCCTTGGTGTGCTTCAGCAAAGATCTTTCTTTGCACGCTTGAGCAAGTCAATGCATGGGTAGTATGCCCAGCAGTCAGCTTTGTGACTTGCAACTCGAACTTTGCACTGAATGATCACCAGAAAGTTAGCGATATACCTTATTCGATAACGTGATTTTTGGACTCGCCTCCAGGGAGTTGTCGTAAGTTGGGGCCCTCGTACGTGAAATGAGTCGCAAGAAATGCCCAGTTGGTACAAGGGAATAGTAAAATACCGGTATTTTTCTACTCCTATGTTCCCACGCCGAGTCCACTGTGCACTGAGTGCACGTCTTTTGCCACTCCCTGGTTCCCGGGACCCCGGTTCACGTGATTGTGACGTTTATCGTATTATAAAGGTATATTATTGTATATTATTGTACAGCATTGCATGAATCGGCCTCTCAGGCATTCGGCATATGCAGTCGCCCACAACAACTGATCAAGACATCTGATCCTACCATTCGGACACTATCCGAACAACAGAAGCAGCTGCACATTTTAATCAACAGAGAAAACAATAAGGACAAGAGACAAGCACTGAAATCAAATCGGAATAAGGTGCTGCAGAAAATTCGATCTCTCCTAAAGACCCAAGAAGACCAGTTCTGGCAGGACAAAGCCAACGCTGTTGACGCCAGGAGACCTGACGCCAGATCCTATTTCAGCGCAATCCGACAGCTGCGTGATCTGCGTGGGGGCAAGAAGTCTCATCGTATTCAGCTGGCCAATGAGGATGGAGAGATCGTAACTGGTCTACAGTGGAACTTGGACAAGTTCCGGGAGTATTTCTCATCAGTATTCTACAACTCTGACCTGCCCACGGACCTAGTAACCGAACAAGTGGTGTCTGAACCCCCTTCACAATTGAGGAGGTCAAGGCAGCTATTCTCAGTCAACGAACAAAGGGAGCCGCTGGGTGTGATTGGATAAGTGCAGCGATGCTGAAATCCGCCATGGACATCATCAGAACATGGTTAGCAAACCTCTTCAATGCTGTGCGGATCCTATGCCATTGCCCGAAACGATTTGAGATGCGGAGTGTTGATGCCAATTTACAAGCCTGGTAAGCATATGGGAATACCAAAGAGCTACCGACCCATCACGCTATTATCTGTGGTGAGGAAAGTGCTGACATGTATTCTGAACCGTCGAACGCGGACAGCAGCAGCAGACAGCTACGTAAGGGAGTCTCAAGCAGGATTCAGACCAGGCCGCTCAACAGCAGACGGTGTGTTCTATTCAAGAATGCTGTGTGAACGCGCAATGCTTGGTGATTGGTCATACTCAGCAGCGCTGCTGGACTTTTGTGGTGCATTCGACACCCTGGTTAGGAGTACAGCGCTGGACAGGATGACGGTGGCGGGGGCGCAGACATCGACTGTATCAGCATTGATCTCAAACACAACAGCCAGAGTAAAAATTTCCAGCCAGCTTGGAGAGGCCTTCCCCACGAACATTGGAGTCGTGCAAGGTGACCCGCTATCGCCCACTATGTTCAATATGTATGCCGAAGGAGCCATGTGGAAGATCGATGCAGTTAGTAGCCTTGCAAGAACTCAAGATGTACCCTCACCTTCAACACAATACGCAGATGATACAACTATGCACGCACCATCGAGGAGTGCTGTGGAGACCATGGTAGCCACATGTGAGCCGATCTTCAAAGAAGACAACCTCAACCTTAATGTACAAAAAACCGTATATTTAACTGCTTCCCGTACTGATGCATCGTGGAAAACGGCCAAGCTCCTTGGTTCCTTGCTGGACTCCACGGAGGATGTGGCAGCCAGGATCGGTGCAGCGAACCGAGCATTCGGCTCGATAGCATGGAAGCGGCATTGCCTGGACTCACGGCTTTGCATGTTCTCGGTTCTCATTGTTCCAGTGCTGCTGTATAACTGCGGGCTGTGGACCCTCACGAAGCGACAGGATGAACAGCTAGATGTATGGCAGAGAAGAAAGCTCCGTTGTATCTTCGGAGTCCACTACCCGCACTGCATATCCAAACAAATCCTGTATGAAAAATCACAACAGCAACCAATCAGTAGGGTCTGCAAGAGAAGACGTCTCCTATGGTTCGGCCATGTTGTTCGGGAAGGTCCGGGCACGGCTTCCTATGGCGCGCTAACCATGGCCATCGACACGTGAAAGATCAAGCGTCCACGAGGACGACCGAGGCTTCGGTGGATTGATGTGGTGAAATCCGACATCTCCCCTCTCGGACACACGCTCGAGGATTGCCTCGACACTGCACGGGACAAAACGCTATGGCTGGACTTCATTGACAAATGTACATCGGTGTAAAAAAAGGCATGTACTTGTCATGTGCTAGAACCTGTATATGTTTTTTCGTATGCTACTCTAATTTCAGAAATTTTCGGTGCTCAATATTTTCGGTATGAGGGCAAAAGGCCAGGTTAGGTGAACAGAAATTTTCGGTACAGGGAAGCTGTTCCCTATTGGATTATGTGTGTTAGTGTTTGTTCGGTGTATTGAAATTTTAGGTATGAAGCAGATGCACCGAAAGTACCGAAAATAAAAGTACACCGAAATTTTGTGAAATTAGAGTATTCTTCCTGCTGCAATCTATTTCATGATGAGACAGTTGACAGATGCGTGGAACTCATTATTTGGGAGACATGCGACCTGTATTATTATGAGTCTTTATTCCACTCCAAATTGAAAATACAAAATAAAAATTGGAGGTATTACACTAACTCACCAGACTTATCATAGCCAAAGGTAAGCAGCATGGAATAATATATGGAAAAAATAAGGTAGAGAGAGAGGAAGGGAGAAAGGCGCATGTACCATCACAGGCATTAAAGCTCAGAGGTATCATGGCAACAGGTATTGCAGAAAGGGGAGCATCAGAAGTTGGCGAAAAATTCAGGCCGGCAAAGCTCATCACTGGGCACAACTTCCAATGCGCACCCACAGAAAGATCAAATACGAATACCCACAGAAATACCACAGTGTTTCAATTACAAACTAAAACGAATACAATAACATACAGAGCATAAAAAGCCCACCAGGGACAGCGAAGAGCCCTATGCTGCACCCAAAACAGATCTTAGAATGGCCATCGAGCCAAGGATAGCAGCCTGCTGCAGTTCATGAAGGTGCCGCTCTTCTCCACATAGCTGCTTAATTGAGGTAGCCGCTTCCTTCGTCAGGCCACCAAGAGCACCAACTATGATGGGCACTACGGACACTGCCTCTCGCTGCCAAATCTGCCCAATTTCCACAGCGAGGGGCAAGTACTTCGCTCTCTTTTCAGCATGTTTTAGTGTTACTCTATGATCCAGTGGCACACTGACATCAATAAGTTGAACTGACTTGCCATCGTCCCACACAAGATCCGGCCGATTTGCTCCAACCATCCTATCTGTAGGGATTGGCATTTCCCACATTAACTTACGGCCTTCACTATCCTCGACGTAGTGTGGCAAGTGGCCAGGGGGAGCAGGAGATACCAGTCTGTAGCGATGACAGAGTGCCCGGTGGACTATAGCGGCAAGACGATTATGGCGAGTAATGTATGCCGTCCGTGCCAACACGGGGCAGCATGCCAAAATATGGTCAACAGTCTCCCCCGTACCTCCACACAAACGGCACACGTCCACCACGGAAGTGTCGCCAATAACCGATCTTTGGTAGTTCCTGGTATTAACCACCTGATCCTGAGCAGCAAATACGGATGACTCAGTGGATGGACGCAATGTTGGAGACTTTATTATTATTATTATTATTATTTGCAATAAAACGATGAAAATATGAAGAAATGGTGTAGGGAAAAAATATATGGATTCAAACAAGTTTTCGTACAACACTCATCAGGAATCGTCGTTGTACTAAAGGACACTGAAACAAAAAATTGAACTATTATAGAAAATCTAAGTTAGAGAAATAACACTAAGAGCAACAACAGTGAAAATACAAGTGTGAATTTTAACAATCAAAGCGAGAAATGAACAAAGGAGAAAGGAAGGAAAGACAACGTGATAACACATAACAGCAAAACATTACACCTAGAACATTAACGGCCAAGCTTGGCCGCACTAAACACGACACGTTACTTGAACAATTTCAACCCAATTTTACTATCTGTACACACAAATTAGGCTTGTACAGACGCTGATAGATAGCTTCCAACACTTTTAACTGTAGTCCATAACCATGACGACCACGGCACAATACAGTGAACGAAGAGTCGGAATACGAATTGCAACAATCAGGACTAGCTAGCAGATGATTGTACACTGAAGACTTCCTACCACGAAACCTACGCACAACACTAACACTCTCACCGGCATTCTCACCATCACTCCCATCACTGCTCTCCGACTCACTTCTCATTCCGCCGTCCGTTCCATCCTCCGCTTCCTCTGTACTCTCTCTGCCTCGTCCATCCCGCCTGACCGGGTCCATTGAACTCAACTCGGTCGTCACCCTGCTATCACGTCCCTCCTTTCGCCCTTGTCCGCTGAGTGCGTAGCTTATGTTGTAGTTGGCTGTTGATCGTCTTGGTCTTTCAATTATGGGCTTGGATGGTGGATTAGTTGTGGTTGCTGTAGATTGCGTTGTTGGTGTTGGTGTGGGAGCTACTGATATGCAAGGTGGGTCTTTTTGAGTCGGCATTTGTAGTGTTAATGCAGCTGTCAGTGTTGCTCGCGGTCTACATGGTCCTTCGTCTTAATCTCAGAGTCGTTGGTTCGGCCACAAACATTGGGCGCTACTGTTGCAAGAAAATAGAGGGATTGGTGTGCATGATTTAAACCCATTACTCCTGTCTTTACTTAACAGTGGTCCGCCGAACAGGCTACCGGTGATTGCAAACACCAACGGACTCCTTCTTGCCGCGCTTACCCCTAAAGCAATAATTCTAGCATGTCAATGATATGTTTTCTGGTCAAAGCTCGCCATTTAAGTTTCTTGAACACTAACGTCTCTTGGTCTCATGATTGCAGGCAGGAAAGCAGACACTAACACAAACCATTACTGATACTTGAGAGTTCATACTACTTACTGGCTAAACAGGCAAATGGAAGCTCCCTCGAACTATTCCTGGCCTCACTATGTCCTAGCTGGTTGCCATTCACCTCAAAGGCATAATGATTATCAAAAGACACTTGATCGGACTGTCGAGACCAGAACAGGCCTTTGGCGGCGGCAGCACCAAGTTTCTTGAGCACAATGGAGAGAGTCTCCACTTCAAAAGCATTTTGAAAGTTCAACAGTCTTGCATCATATCCATACGTATCGATGCAGTGTTTGGTGGCATTGTAATTACTCATCTCCAGCAGATTACGGGAAAAGGGGATTGTTGGCACAACGACATACAGATCATTCTTGTGGTACTGAGATGCAGCTGAATAGGGGAATTACAAACAGAGAAAGAAGGGGCATCAGCAGCACGCTCTGACAAACTTGAGCCATCAAATGTTGAATATGCTATGCTTGGATGACCACTACACCATAGCTTAGTGGTAGAGTATAGCTGGTTATCAGCGACGGTCCCTGGTTCGAGTCCCGGTGGTGACTGGCATTTGTTTTCTCCAAACATTTCCCGTCTGAGACTCCCCAAACTAATGTGTACCCCCTGGTATATATCCTTATTATTTTATCAGTGTCAATAAGAGTGCATACACAATAGTATGCAACTGTGGTTATGGGTGAGTGTGCGGCGCACTGCCTTCATTAGGTAACTTGCCTTCATCACGCTCTGAAAGCATGCAATCAAACTCAGAATTTCTCGTACGAGCCAATCTGGTTTTGCTCGATTCGTTCCAGTACCTACGCCATCTCTAAATTTTGGCGCGTGAACTCCAGTTCCATACGAAAGTTCATTTCAAACCAGAGGGAAAGTGCGGTGTTTGATTTTCCACAGTGCGGGGGCTGCAGCTGAATGGTGTAATGAAGGCAGCGCGCCGCGTATCTGGCCCATAGAAAAGAGATCACAGTTGCATACTCTTGATTATGGACTCTTGGTGTCAACCATATTCCTTTCAGGGGTGTCGCACACGGTATTAATCGTAACACTATTTGCCCCAGGTACCCCGTTAATCAATAAAATGCACTGATCCGGGCTCCAAATTTCCAAAATTTTCGGCTCAGCCATCCTTCCCTCATGAGTAAATACTTAAGTACTTCAAATGGCTTACCGCACCACAAAAATAACTTCCGACGCCCCTACCTTTCTCGCCCGGAAATAATGATATTTCCCCTAGCAAAAAGGGTGAACTCCCTGAAACACTGGGCATTGAGTAGGGAGAGGGGTTTTCTTGCAGGTTTGCCCAGCGAAAGCTAGATGGACTTCTCTCGTGCTCAGGATGGCAGTCATAAGTCAGTCAATTGTCATATCAAATCAGCAGGAAAAGATCCAACATCGGAGGCCATGCAAAATTCCCTAGTAAATAGCAGGAAATCTTTCGAACTTAAAGGGGAACTCCGGTCCAAAATCACCCCCATTTTTTATTGCGGAATCCATTAGAGTATGTCGTAAGTGGAAAATGGCGAAAACCGGAAGCTTCTACGACAAGGATAACATACCTAAATTACCAATTGCAATTTTCCATATTTGGCACGAGGGGGGCTCCGCCCACCCTGTGACGTAAAACGTTCTCACTGACCTCCAATTTTTTTATTCAAATGGTAGACCTGCAGAAATTTTGAAAAAAGGTATTCACTGTTTTTTCTTCAATCAATAACCCTTGTACTAGTATTCATTCGATCATCACGTTGGAGGAAGAGGAGACCACGGGAGGTGTGGAGGTGGACGCCACTTCGGATTCAACAACACCGAGGCCTTTTAGGTTCGAGCCGAAGCGCGCATCAGCGTCTGCGAAACTGTCTACAAGTAATATTTCTGAGACTACAAAACAGATGAACGTGAAGAGAACGCTTTGGTTGCAAGTGCTCGCGTGAGAAGCACTGCTTGATGCCGTTGCGGACAATGCAGCCTGATGTGGAGCGAGGTCGAGTCGACTTGTTGCTGGGAGGTTCCTGCAGCTTTCAGTAAACGCGGCGAGCAGGATGGGCTGCAGTGCGTCACGCAGCACTCAGAGTTTGCTGTTGTTTGCCTGCAAAAATCAGTGCTCGAGGTGGCATTGCTTTCCTTCGAAGAATTTCGGGCAAGGTGTGGACCGTGGTCAAACAGGTGAGGATTCACTGAATCGGTTTCATTATTTTCTTTCTTTCCATGTTTCATGTACCGGTACAAAGTAGATGGGAAGTGTTGTGCAATGATTTTGTGTACAGTATTCAAATTCACCAACTTCCATCACACAATCATGAAGTTCTATTGCACCCATGCTCATATAATTATACTGGTACAACGATGTTTTTCATTCATACTATTCCTAGCACTGTAAGTGTTTCAACTGTGTGTAAAAGTGATGTAAATTTGAAAAAAGGCCAAACTCTTTAGTATAGTAGCCCATAGAAATATTAACTCGAATCCGAAACTATTTACACTGAATCCATTTACTTTTACACAATCATGAAGACACTCGTGGTATGTGTATCTACATCTCTCCAACTGTTTTGTGCAGGATTTGGAGACATGTGGCGTATAGACAATACACATGGTTCACCCATGGATACTTTGAACGCAAGCAGCGGCGTGTGATACCGTCTTGCGTGGTATCGAAGATAAAGCAGCTGTACCCAGAAGCCAATGCAGATGCGCACTGGGGCTTTGAGGAAGCAGTTGGACATGATGATGATGATGATGATAATGCTTCTTGGCCTGGTTGACGTTCACATAATCATTGGTACATGTGCATGCAGAATGTAGAAAACAGTTGACAGACACGATTTATAACTATTCTTGACTCGGGCAATATTTGTGTTTTCGGGTGGGCGCATGCTTTGCACCAATGCAGCTGCATGAACAATCTGGTAAAGTTGACAGATACAATGGCACAAGACTGTACTGTGTTCGGGAGCATGGGGTTGTGCCGGTGCCGTGGCGAATGCCGAGAATGGTTGTATGCACATCGTTCAACAGGTCCTTCAAGAAGTTGCAGGACATTGTCGTGCAGCTTCTTGGCCACTTTGTGCTCTTGGTGTATTCCAGCCTGTACCTGAGCACACCCTCCTTGGTTTTGGCGTGCGCTCTCCCTATATTGGCATTGTGGGACAGACATGCCGACTGTACCCGTGCTCTCATGCCATTGTACGAAAAGTGGACACGTCTTGGTGCCCACTTCAGTATGACAGCATGGAAATTTTCCAGACTACAAATCATACTGTACCTTGTATTTGTGGCAGTGTAGCTGCAACCGGAAAGTAACGCAATGGAAACTTACAGATAAAGAGAACCGAAATAACACACATGATAACGTTCCATGTACATTCCATCAATTCTCGACTTCACTGACTAGGATTTTGAGTAGAGGACTTTGAGTAGGACTGTACTCTGTAGTCGTTTAGAGCTACGTTCTGGACGGCACAAAATCATGCCGTTCACTTACCTCATCGTGCTCACGTTCCTGGAAGTAAATCGAAGATGGTCTGCTTTTGCTGGCAGCAGAGGTAGAGGAGCTACTAACTATTAGTATGACATGCACCGCCAAGTTTCAGGATGGCAGAGACCCTGGCTTCAAGCGTCGCTGCTGCTTCTGCTTATAGCCACCAATGCTTTGTGCAAACTCTTGTTGGAAATCTCTTTCATAGCACATCTCAGTGAAATGCTCAGTGCAGACACGATTATTTTTCGTCGGAGAAAAATCCTTCTAACATACTCTCCATAGCCAAGCTGTCGTCAGGTTCGCGTCAGCCAGAGGAAAGCCATGCTACGACAGCCCGCAGGCGCCTCTTTCTTCGTGACATTGTCGCATCCAGAGACGCAGCAGCGAGTCGTGACAATAAATCGGGCATGGCACAGAACAACAAGCACTTCAACAATGGCCAAGGACTTTTCATTCTTGCTTCAATTATTTGAAAATTTCATCTGAGTGGACCGGGCTGAGAACGTTTTACGTCACAGGGTGGGAGGGGGCCCCCTCGTGCCAAATATGGAAAATTGCAATTGGTAATTTAGGTATGTTATTCTTGTCGTAGAAGCTTCCGGTTTTCTCCATTCTACCACTTACGACATACTCTAATGGATTCCGCAATAAAAAAATGGGGGTGATTTTGGACCGGAGTTCCCCTTTAAATGTCAACCCGTTAGTCCACTCTTTAGTCTCTACTTAACCTTGAACCTTTTGAGTTCGAACGCTGTTGGTGCTGGCTTTGTAGATGTGTTGAAGCTAGGTGTCAGGTCATAAACCGTCAAAGAACTCTGTCATTTGTGTGCCTAGTTGTAGCACTCTCTGCCTGCATATAATCTAGTTCAAGTGGTGGGTAGTGACTCATGATTTGTGTCCATGTATTGTGATTGGCTTCTTGCTTTGAGCCGAAGCCATCTGGACGACCTGAGAAAGTTTGCTGCGGATCGCACTGGATGGCGGCAGATAATCTAAAGGAGTCGTAGCAACAGCCGGATATTGACATACATAATGGACAGAGCTAGAGAACAGCAGCGGAAGCATGTATAGCACGGCTGTGCATGTTGTACGCGTATCTGTGTTATTATTATTCTTGCTTGGTTTGCTCAAAGAAATCCTCCGTTTTGTTGTCCGGGTCCTCTTTCAAGAGTTGCATGCCTTTGTCTAAGGTGACATCATAATTATGGTCAAAGTCATCGAAAAGAAAGGGAAAAATTCCAATTTTAAATTAATCATGCGGGACTGCTCAAACCAGCACAGCCAAATACCTTGGTATTTGTCTGGACGAGCGCTTGAGCTGGGCAGGTCAAGTGGCTGCTGTAGTGAGGAAGGTGTCCTACAAACTCCGAGTCTTGCGCTAC